CTCTCTTAATAAGAATCCACAAAAGAGGAGAAATGGGATGCACCTTTGTGTTAATTAAAATGACAGAAGCAAAAGCAGGTGGGTCGTCAATGTTATGCAACATTTTAAATTATTTAGATGAAAGAGGTGGAAAAATAAAATTGTAACAGACCAGGGAGGCTGAAATGACTCTTTAATGAGAACCTCAAATCGTATTGAGCCACTGTGAGAGACAGATTACTCAGGGCTGGTTTGGAAGAGCCAAGAAAGAGAGGAAAGCCTGCTCGCAGCTGAGAGTCTGCCATCGGTCACCCCAGGTGAACCCAGGTTATCTGCCCAGGAGTGGCTATGGGGAGATTGAGGTATTTTTCTGAAAGCCACTAAACTGTCTGGGATAGGAATTGCACTCACAGTCTGGGCCTTATCAAGCTCCCCTAGTAATCCGAAGAGCTGATGGATGCTGTGTTTAGAGACCAGTGACTCCCATTCCTCACAAGCCCTGTCTCCCTTTTTTTTTTTTTTTTTTTTTTTTTTTTGAGACAGAGTCTCGCTCTGTCACCCAGGCTGGAGTGTAGTGGCCGGATCTCAGCTCACTGCAAGCTCCGCCTCCCGGGTTTACGCCATTCTCCTGCCTTACGCTATTCTCCCGAGTAGCTGGGACTACAGGTGCCCGCCACCTCGCCCGGCTACTTTTTTTGTATTTTTTAGTAGAGACGGGGTTCACCGTGTTAGCCAGGATGGTCTCGATCTCCTGACCTCGTAATCCGCCCGTCTCGGCCTCCCAAAATAGTGGGATCACAGGCTTGAGGCACCGCGTCCGGCCCCTGTCTCCCTTCTTAAGCCTTTCTTCCCCTCACCTTCCCCTGAGTCCCAGCCAAGGGGCAGTACAAACCACTGTATTCCATAACTAGGAACACAGGGACAAGTCCAGGGAAGATTATGTTTATTATAACAGACTTCTAGGATTGGGCTTGTTTAGAAGGAAATTAAAGAAAAAAAATCTGGCTATCTCATCTACGATGTAAGCTAAGAGGGTGAAAGTCCCTAAGAGTCCCTTCTTGGAGGCCATGGGGTCAGGAGTTAGTAGGTTAGGAAATAACTTTTATCTATGTATCACAATTAACCTTGGACGTCTAGTGCAGTACATAATTTTTTTTAGACAAAGGGAAGTATCCTTTTTTTAGGGACCAGGCCAGAGAAACAGTCCTCCAGTTTGGGGCACTGATGAACAAGGCAGCAATTAGGCCTGAAAAGGACCCTTACAGAGAAGATGACAGTAAGGCCAGGTGTAGTGGTTCATGCCAGTAATTCCAGCATTTCGGGAGGCCGGGATAGGCGGATCACTTGAGGTCAGGAGTTTGAGACCAGCCTGGCCAACATGGCGAAACCTTGTCTCTACTAAAAATACAAAAATTAGCTGTGCATGGTAATACATGCCTGTAATCCCAGCTCCTCAGGAGGCTGACCTTGAACCCAGGAAGTGGAGGTTGCAGTGAGCCAGGATCATGCCACTGCACTCCAGCTTGGGTGACCAAGCGCGACCCTGTTGCAAAAACAAAAAACAAACAAACAAAAAAACCCAAAAACAAAGAAGATTATGTGAGACCGGTGTCATAATAGAGCCAGAACGACCGAGCTAAAAAATCTTCACAGTTCTAGAGAATTTAGATGGAAGCAGTCTAGAACCATTTATAACTACCATTTAAGATGGTGCACAGCCAATTAAGTAAGGGATGAGCTATACAGAGCTAAACAGATTTTATAATTACAGGACTTCTCAGAGCCTTTCCTATTCTAATGTACATTGTGAATCTCCAAAGGGAGCTGTGGCATGCAACATTTCCCAAGCTTATTTGTCCAAGGGATCTTGGATTTTGCAAGGCCAATCTTTTAAGACTTAGAGGTGTTCCAGAAACTTCTCTTCAGGTCAGAGCCATTATGTGCCCACTAACTATGCCAGTGGATCAATTCTATTTCGGTAAATGTTGTGTTTTCTTCTAAATTTCAGTGAGCTAATGTGTTGCCTGCAGATGACTATTACTCAGATACCAAAGTTTTTTGAAGAATGCCCAACAGTAATGGAAGTGTTTTATTTTTAGAATCAGGTGACACAGAACCCATAAGTTCCTTTTCAAGCAAAGTCAGTTCTGTTCAACCACACAGCAAAGTCAGCAGTACGTTGGGATGGCAGTGGGTTTGTGCATTTGGATTTGTTTCCATTTAGAAAATGAACTGGTTGTGGCTGGGCGTGGTGGCTCACACCTGTAATCCCAGCACTTTGGGAGGCCAAGGCGGGTGGATCACGAGGTCAGGAGATCGAGACCATCCTGGCTAACACGGTGAAACCCCGTCTCTACTAAAAATACAAAAAAAGAAATTAGCTGGGCGTGGTGGTAGGCACCTGTAGTCCCAGCTACTCAGGAGGCTGAGGCAGGAGAATGGCGTGTAACCAGGAGGCGGAGCTTGCAGTGAGCCGAGATCACACCACTGCACTCCAGCCTGGGCAACAGAGCGAGACTCCATCTCAAAAAAAAAAAAAAAAAGAAAGAAAATGAACTGGTTGTACAGGTGAGCCACTTGCAAACCAGCCTATTCGCAGATGTACCGCTGCCCTTGTGTGGGACCAGAGCTTGTCTCTACATCTCGGCAACCCAATTAGTGCCTGGTGAAGCAGGAGCTTTGGAACAGCCAGTTTTGTTTGTTCAGATTATCCCATTTCCATTTGCTCTAGCTGTTCCCAAGCTCTTCTTTGGACTTCAGAGAAAATTAACTCAGCCATTTTGAGGGGAGAAAGCAGGTGATAGAACACATGGCTCGACCGTAACACAACATAACATTTTAAAATTGTTTGCATTTTTTTAACACCACTTGAAATGACTTTGCGGAGGGCAATCAACAGAGAAAACAGAGTTGTTTAAGGGAATGTTCGGTAGAAGATTTTACTAAGAAACTCTCCTTTTCTTCTTTGTTGTTTATTTTCCACTTGGCAGTACTGAAAAATCTGATTTCCCTTCTGCCGTTTACAAATGTCTGTGGAGTTGTGTTCAGTTCAGTTGTTGAGATCTGCAGAATACAACTGGAAAGATTTTGTGGGCAGATTTCTTTCTGTAAAAATAAAACAGTATGACTATGGGTATACTAACATAGTATATTTCAGGGATTAAAGTGAATGCAAAGGCCGGTAGTGGTGGCTCACGCCTATAATCTCAGCACTCTGGGAGGCTGAGGCGGGTGGATCACTTGAGGTCAGGAGTTCAAGACAAGCCTGGCCAACATGGTGAAACACCGTCTCTACTAAAAATACAAAAATTAGCTGGGCGTGATGGCATGTGCCTGTAATCCCAGCTACTCCTGAGGCTGAGGCAGGAGAATCACTTGAACCTGGGATGCGGAGGTTGCAGTGAGCGGAGATCTCACTGTTGCACTCCAGCCTGGGTGACAGTGTAAGACTCTGTCTCAAAAAAAAAAAAAAAGAAAAACAAAAAGGAATGCCAAATTGCCCTGAGGTCTTTGATCTTTTTGATCAGTAAGATACTATGAACTACACAATAGTGTGTATTTCTTTACTGTCTAGACAAATGTTGATACATCTTTTCAGTTCAGAATTTTAAACATTGATACTATTTTCTTTTTTCTTTCTTTTTTTTTTTCTGAGACGGAGTTTTGCTCTGTCGCCCAGGCTGGAGTGCAGTGGTGTGATCTTGGCTCACTGCAAACTCCACTTCCCAGGTTCACGCCATTCTCCTGCCTCAGCCTCCCGAGTGGCTAGGACTACAGGCGCCTGCCACCACGCCTGGCTAATTTTTTGTATTTTTAGTAGAGACAGGGTTTCACTGTGTTAGCCAGGGTGGTCTCGATCTCCAGACCTCGTGATCCGCCCACCTCAGCCTCCCAAAGTGCTGGGATTACAGGCGTGAGCCACCGTGCCCAGCCGATACTATTTTCTTAAGTGAGAACTTGCCAGGTTGATGAAGAGGGATGATTCTTAACCATTTTTAACAGAGAAGGCTTGCGATCTGAAAGTTTCCTACCTGGCCATATGCTCACCTGTATTTGGGAAGTCACACTGATCCATTCCCATCTCTGTTATTATTATTTTTAATTATAAAATAGAGACAGGGTTTCGCTATGTTGCCCAGGCTAATTTCAAACTCCTGGGCTCAAGCAGTCTTCCTGCTTCAGCCCCCCAAAGTGCTGGGATTACAGGTGTGAACCACTGCACCTGGCCCTATCTCTGTTATTTACATGCAATTCTTCTTATTTGATGTGGTCTCCCTGTCTCTTTACATTCTTGTCTTCCTTTATGGTATGTGGGTATCGGTATTCATGAGCATCCTCTGCTTATTTCTGCCTTGACAAGTCCAGCCCTAGATCGTATGAGCCTGAATTTCGTTTCCCTGTGTGATTATCCTAGAAGTGCAAGCAAATAGCAAACCATCCCCCATTCAGAAAACATGCTTTCATTCATGTCTTCGGCTCTGTCTCCCTTCTGGCCTTGCTTTCCTAGTGAGTTGCTATTACTCAGCATGTCAGAGGATGGGACGAGGATCCATGAGTGAATGAAATAATGAATGAACAGAAGCCTCTGTGTAGGGTGCGGGCTGATGAGGAGCAGCAGAGAGGCCTGCGTGCATTTCCGTGCTGTGGCTGGAATACAAGCAGCTGTTTTCCGGCTGTGTTTCGAAGCTCTGCCTTCCACACAATCCCTTCCTCTCACCCTCCTCCACGTCTCTTTCAGGTCCCCCCATTCCTCTTGGCCACATTTTTCTTCCTATGCAGCATGTATTTAGGAAGTCACTCTGAATCATCCTCACTTCTATTATTTACATGCAATTCCTTTTCTTCCTTTCCTTTTTCCTTTAAAATTCTACTTTTTTTTCTCCACTTGAGTTCCTCTTCTCACTTTTCTGGAACTCTCTTCTTTGTGATTTTTTTCTCCAACTACCCTGTCACCATTACCACCCACCTTATCTGTATCTAAAGTCATACATAGCCCTCAGAAGCCAGAAGGGCGAAGGGAGCTCAAATATCTCCCCTTATTTCCTTTGCATCTTTGCCTGTATGGTAACTAAGGTTCTGAGTAGAGGGTGACGTCAGACATTTACCTTTTTGAAATTGATGTGTGTATTAAAGATCTTCTGTGCACAAAAGAGATATTTATATTTTGCCTCCCAAGCATGGGGTAAAATTTCTATCAAAATGGGGGGATAAAAATTTTTTAATAAATAAAGGAAGCTGAAAGGTATTTTAAGATCTAGGTGTCTACCAACTGTCTGTATACACATTTATCGTCCACTTTCTTCTACTTTTCAAACAACACAGACTTCTCTCATTTATTTTCCAGTAACTCCAGCCCCAGAGTCCTAGAAGATAAATAAACCCTAAACTCTATGCCTGCCCTCATTAGCACTATGGAACATTCTGGATGTAAGTCTCCTGTTGGTGAAGAGAGGAAACACTTGCAAATCTACTTGTATTAATGATCCCATCTCAAGTTGCAATTCCCAGTGAGGCCTTGCAGCGCAGTTACTGTGATAACATAGAACACAGTACCAGAGAATCGATGTCATCCACAGGGGAACTCCATTAGAGAGAAAGTCAGGTCTGTATAGAGTTTCGTGCTCGTGGATAGCAGGGAACACGTTTTGCATACTGTCAGAACAAGATGGCAAGAGAAGAATGCATTGAATTCCAGATAAAAGCTAAAAGGAAATTATCTTTTAAAAGCCTATAAATACTTCATCAACTCCAAGCCAGCTCCTCAACTCTTCCATTTAACTTTCTTGATGCTAGGCCCCTTGTAAAGTGCTGCTTTCAGACAAGGAAGAATTTGAGCTGGTGAACAGGAATAAAGTGCTGAGTTACTGGGCTGAGGGTTCTTCTCAATGAGTAGTTTTCAAACTGTCCTTCTGTAGGTCCAGGAGATTCCATGGACAGGTCTCAGTGGCCATTCTGTCCCTAATATTTTATTTAAGGAAAGAACTCTGATGCCAGTTTAAATGGTTTGAAAACTACCGAACGGTAACATCTCTCAGCTCTTGCCCTATTCTAAAGACCATGAATAAGTGTGATGTATGTGAGACAGGAACCACTTGAAGCAGCAGTTCCCAAACTTAACAGATTTGCACCTCCTCCCTCCACTTAGTGGTGCTTATATTAGTCAAGGTTCTCCAGAGAGACAGAACCAGTGGTGGGGGGGGGATGTGGGGAGAGGGAGAGATGGGTGTATGGATAGATAGATAGGTAGACAGATTATATAGATAGATTAGATACATAGATTAGATAGATGGATGAATAGATAGATGATCGATAGATGTTAATAGATAAGAGAGATGGATAGATAGATAGCTAGATTAGGTAGATGGATGGATAGATAGATGATAGACATTAATAGATAGATGGATTGATTAGATAGGTAGATTGGATGGATGGATGGATGGATGGATGGATGGATGGATGGATATTAACAGAGAGATGGATAGATTAGATAGCTAGATTAGGTAGATGGATAGATAGATGATAGATATTCATAAATGGATTGATTAGATAGGTAGATTAGATGGATGGATATTAACAGATAGATAGATAGATAGGTAAACAGATTAGATAAAAAGATAGATTAGATAGGTAGATTGGATGGATGGATGGATGGATGGATGGATGGATGGATGGATGGATTAGAGGGAATTTGGTAGGGAAATTGGCTCATGTGATTAGGGAGGCTGAGAAGTACCACAACAGCCCACCTGCAAGTTGGAGACCCTGGGGTGCCAGTAGTGTGGCTGAGTCCAAGTCAGAAGGCTTAGAACCATGGGAGCCATGAGTGTAGGTCCTGGAGTCCAAAGGCTGAGGAGCCTGGAGTTGTGCAAGGACAGGAGGAGGGGCGTATGTCCCCACTCCAGCAGATAGATCCATACATTCGCCTTTCCTCTGTGTTTGTCCTCTCCAGCCCCTCAGCAGGTTGGATGGTGCCCACCCACATCGAGGATGGATCTTCCTCACATAGTGCATGCCAACTCACATGCCAATCTCTGGAAACACCCTCACAGACACACCCAAAATGAGGCTTTACTAGGCTTCTAGGTATTCCTTAATCTAGTTAAGTTGATTCCTAAAATTAACCATCACAGTGTTCTTTATAACATACTCCTCTTTAAGTTAGAGTAGATTAAATTATAAGAATGTTTGGAAAACCTTGTGACTTCCTTTAAGATAATATAGTTACTCTGGGATGCCATTGATGTATTCACTCATTTTAAAATTGGGTTTAAATTTTTTCTGCTTACTAAAATAGTAGACATTTATTGTAACATCCAAGCATTATAAAAAATCTATACCACAGAAAATAAAAGAACTTCATAATTTCCACTACTCGCCATGAGAATGTTTTCCCATGTTTTTTGGTGTGGATACTAGTTTTTCCATATTTTTCGGTGTGTATACTCGTTTGCCATGTTTTTCAGTGTGTATACTCGTTTGCCATGTTTTTCAGTGTGCATACAAGTTTTCCATGTTTTTCAGTGTGTATACTAGTTTTCCGTGTTTTTCAGTGTGTATACTAATTTTCCATGTTTTTCGGCATGTATATTCATTTTCCGTGGTTTTTGGTGTGTATATTCATTTTCCATGTTTTTCGGTATGTATACTAGTTTTTCCACTTTTTTTGGTGTGTATACTTGTTTCCATGTTTTTCAGTGTGTATACTAGTTTTTCCTTTTTTTTTTTTGTGTGTACTTGTTTCCATGTTTTTCAGTGTGTATACTAGTTTTTCCTTTTTTTTTTTTTTTTTGGTGTGTGTACTTGTTTCCATGTTTTTCAGTGTGTATACTAGTTTTTCCATGTTTTTTTTTTTTTGGTGTGTATACTTGTTTCCATGTTTTTCAGTGTGTATACTAGTTTTTCCATGTTTTTCAGTGTGTATACTAGTTTTCCATGTTTTTCGATGTGTGTACTAGTTTTTCCATGTTTTTCAGTGTGGATACTAGTCTACTTTCATTTTCTTTTTACAAAAATGGGGCTATCCTGTTTTACACTTTGCTTTTTTAACGGTTTTAGAGTCGATCACAGTGTACTTTCCCAGTCTTCTACTGGTGAACTTTGACTTCTATTAGTATAGAAATTCATATTTTTTATTCAATTTTTCATTGAAAATAATTATTCAATGAATAATTATTGAATGATATATTGAAATAATTATTTCCCAAATATATCTTTTGAGTAACCCCTGGTTTTCCTGATTTGGGATTGTTTAAAGCAAGGCACGTCTATCCTATGACAGATTCACACACACATATTTTCTCTGCTGTTAGTGGCCACAGCACATACTGAGAAGCAAAGCCTGTGCTTTCAACCTCTGCTTCCCTGGAAGCACTTCCATGATTTCCTGATACTCAGCAGTCAGCATGAAATCACAAGCATGCATGTCAGAGCCAGACAGCCTGGCTTGAATCCCATCTGCCCTACACGTTTGTTGGGTGACTTGGAGCACACTGTTGGACGTTTCCGTGCCTTTGTTTCTTCATCTGTAAAATGGGGATGTATGAGGGCTAATGAGTTAATGGATGAACTGATATGTGTCAAATCTTGGACCAGTGCCTGTTAACAGGAAGGATGGTATAACACTGTTGTCATTATAACCTCAGTATTGGGTTGTGTCTGTCCCTGACTGGACGTGTGGAATGTTGGCCATGTCTCCTTTGGATTGTCATTTTGACCCAAAGGTATCCCAGAACCTCCCAGGGTTAAGAAATACCTGGGCAGGCCGGGCGCAATGACTCACGCCTGTAATCCCAGCACTTTGGGAGGCGGAGGCAGGCGGATCACGAGGTCAGGAAATCGAGACCATCCTGGCTAACATGGTGAAACCCCGTCTCTACTAAAAACACAAAAAATTAGCTGGGCGTGGTGGCAGGTGCCTGTAGTCCCAGCTACTAGGGAGGCTGAGGCAGGAGAATGGCGTGAACCCGGGAGGCAGAGCTTGCAGTGAGCCAAAATCGCACCACTGCACTCCAGCCTGGGTGACAGAGCGAGACTCCGTCTCAAAAAAAAAAAAAAGCCTGGGCAACAAGAAGTACTATCAAGGAGGTGGAGAAATTGGAACTCTCCTACACTACTCATGAGAATGTACAAGGGTGCAGCCACTTTGGAATGGGGTAGCCGTCTGGAAGTTCTTCAGAAGGTTAAACATAGAGTTACAGTATGATCAGCAATTCTACACTAGGTATACACTCTAGAGAAATGAAAACATGGCTGGGCGTGGTGGCTCATACCTGTAATCCCAGCACTTTGGGAGGCCAAGGTGGGTGGATCACGAGGTCAGGAGTTCAAGACCAGCCTGACCAACATGACGAAACCCCATCTCTACTAAAAATACAAAAATTAGCCAGGTGTGGTGGCAGGTTCCTGTAATCCCAGCTAATCTGGAGGCTGAGGCAGGAGAATTGCTTTAACCCAGGGGGCAGAAGTTGCAATGAGCCAAGATCATGCCACTGTACTCCAGCCTGGGCAACAGAGTAAGACTCCATTTCAAAAGAAAGAAAGAAAGAAATGAAGACATATATCCACACAAAAACTTGCACAAGAATACCTGTGGCGGTATTGTTCATAGTAGCCAAAAAATAGAAACAAATGTTCATCAACTGATAAATGGAGAAATCAAATGTGGTATGTCCATACAGTGGACTATTATTTGGCCAGAAAAAGGAATGGAGTACCCATACATGCTAGAACATGAATGAGCCTTGAAAACCTGCTAAGGGAAAGAAGCCAGGAACAAAAGACCACATATGATACACTTCCATTTATAGGAAATGTATAGAATAGACAAATCTTAGAGACAGAGGAGATGAGGGGTTGCATACAATGTGGTGTTGCAGGTAGGCAGGAATGGGGACGTGACTGCTGATGGATACAGGGCTTCTTTGGGAGGTAATGGAAATGTTCTAAAATTAGATTGTCATAATGGTTGTATAACTCTGAATATTCTAAACACATTAACTTGTATACTGCAAATTGGTGAATTATATGGTATGTGAATAAAGCTTTTTTTTATTTATTTTA